TGTCCACTTATATGAGGTACTTAGAGTAGTCAAAATCATAGAGACAGAAAGTTGAATGGTGGTTGCTAGGGGGAAGGGAAAATATGAAGTTGTTTAATGTGTACAGAGTTTCAGTTTTACAAAATGAAAAGAGAGATGGGGAATGGATGGTAGTGATGGTTGCACAGCTACTAGTATGTGAATGTATTAAATACCACTAAACTTTACACTTATAAATGGTTAAGGTAGTACATTTTATATGTGCATTTTACCACAAAGAAAAAAGAAAAAAAATTGGTAATAAGATGCTCAAATTTGAATCAAAACATAAAACAATAACTCCCTAAAAATCAAAGACAATAACAGTCATAGAAAAATACCTTGCAATTCTGTAGCAGTCGTATGAGATGTTCAAAACAATTACTGTTAAGAAAAATGGCCTGAAGAACAGGCCTATCTGTGCAGTCTAACATGGCTGTGATGGTATCTAGAAAATAAAAACAAAATCAACCATTTATAAAGTAGAAAATTTCGGATCACACATTTACTCTAGCCATATTTTTAATTTAGGCTTTTCAGTTGACAAGCAGATGTAAATTAATTAGGAAATAATGGGGATGGGAGTAGATAAAAAATAAATCTGTACTTCTTACTTGATAAGAAAAGTGAACATTTTTATACTTTATTATCAAAAATATTTAACTTTTTATGTAAGTGATATACATTTCCCCGAGTTTACTTAGTTGTTCTTCCATTATAATGCTCAAGTATAACCAACTGAGGTTCCCGACTTACTTTCAATAAACAACACATGTCTGGCAACATCGTCTCATTTATGTAGTATAAAATTCACATGTGGCCATTATGAAAATGAGACTCAGTAATTAATGCATTTGTGATGATGCCTTGCTCTTGCTTCCTACTGCATAAATACCCCCATTCAGAAATCAAAGAACATTTGGCATAGGTAGTATGATAGTTCCCAAGAAAAAAAGAAATCTAGTCAATATAGTCTCAAACTTCCTTATAAATTTACAATCTATAATAATTATAAAACCTGACATGTGTAACATAAAAAATAGCCATGGTGAATCTTATTTTCCTACAGAAACATTATTGTAATGGCTCACTAAGTTTTACAAAGATTTTGACATCCAATATTTTTATATTAGATACCACACACATACCACTACACAAGCATTTTTTTTAAGTCTGTAGAGTTATACAACAAACCATTAATGATGGTTATGTCTTGGTAGAACATAAAAAATTTATTTTTATTTATCTGAATTTCCTAGTTTAGCTATAATAAAAATATTTTAATTCTATAAAAAAGATGTCTCAGTAATATTTTTATCTATCAATCTAAGAAGGGAATACAATAAGAAATCCTGTATTGGTGAAGGAGATTGCAGAAAGACACAGAAATATATAAGCACAGAATAACACAAAATAACCAACACAAAGAGAAGAGAAACATCACATACACAGGCTCTGATTTTATGTGACTCTTTGCCATAGGCTAGAAACTACAAATGGCACTTTCTGAAAACTTATCCAAGAATTTCAAAATCACAGCTGACTTTCTTTTTAACATTGATGCTTTTAGATAACACTTTCTAAAAAGAATACTGAGGTTTGATTTTGTTATTGTTAAAGCAAAGATGTACAAATGAATTCCATATTAATTATCTCAAAATCTAAATAGTCACGTGATATCTGAATTAGACAATTGATACTTTCTATGCAATGGCTTTGTATTTCAAATGAAAGTGGGAACTATAAAAGTAAAAAAACATTCAGTGGAAACAGAGTATAATAAACTTTATGTGACACTTACTCAGCATTTTGATCTGAAGATTTATGAACCGGCTTTCCCACTTTCTGGATCTCCTTTGATTAGGTACAGCTGAATGATCTGAATTTAGTAATTTAAAATAGTTCTCCAGAATAGTGCTGGTTTCCACTTGACGCTGGTCAGAGCTGCTAGTGAGAAGGATATGTACCACTTCTGTAAGGCACTTCAGAGTAAGTTCTACCTTCCTACCCACTTCTTCAGGATTTCCGTCTTCCCAGGAATCACAGTCTGCCAAAACTCTCATAAGAACTTCCATGGTGGCTGGCGAAATTGCTTGCAAAGCATTCCTCTGAAACATGAAAGACAATAAAAATGAAACCCAAACCTAACTGGAGTTCTGTAGTTTGCAAAGATGAAGATAATATATCCTAAGATAACATTTTATTTTAATAAATTAACATACAAAAAAATTGTAAACAGGTACTTTCAGAGACACTGCTAGTGCTTCTGAATGTCTTCATTCCCTCACTAACAGAATTCTGATTTTATTCAGATAGCAATCTGCTCATAGAGAAAACTCACTTACCACCCACCCTCCCTGCAGCTAGAAATAGCCATATGACATAGTTTTGGTCAAGGATATATGCCAGTAGACTATGAAGAGGTTATCACTTTACAAATAAAAAAAACAAGGACCCTTTGCTCTTGACCTTTTCACCTGTTTCCTGCCTGGAGTGCAGACATGATGCTTGGAGCCACCTTAATATCACAAGGAAACAAACCCAAGAATTAAAGTAAGCAGGCTACAGAGAGCAGAACAAGAATATCGAAGGACAGTAGTTCATGATGATATCACTGAGCTGCTATTCCAGCCCAGAACTGTCTACATGTGGATTTCTTATGAGAGAATAAAAAACAAAACACGCAACAACCAAAAAACCCTTGATTTGTTTAAGTCTCTCTCAAGTTTTCTGTTGGTTACAGCAAATCCATCTCAAATGATATTGATACATAAGAGGACTGTTGCGACTCTGAGTCTACATATTTCTGAAATTCTAAGTAATTGGTAACTATTTGAGGTGATCCATTAAACTTAGAAATGAATGATACATATTGCCCTAAATTATTAAATTGATATATAATAAGAAGATAGTTACGCAAAATCATCTAAAAGTAATAGCACTGAGGCCATTAGGACTTGTTATTATCAACGTTAATAAACAATATCAATAATAACAAGTACTATTATGGAAGAAATTGCTGATGACCCATCCAACATCCATTTTCCTCCACTTCTTTATTAACAGAATCCCTGATATTTTGCTGGATATATAGCTACCAAGAACAAAGATGACATTTCCTAAACTCTCCTGCTGCTAAGGAGGCTGAGGAAGCAGGTTTTGTCGAAATTTTTATCTATCAATGGATGTATTTGCACTCTTTACAGTTATCTGATGGAGTTTAGCAAATGAGATAAAGCCATCAAGTGTCAGCTTCACACAATCTTCTTTAAAGATAGCTGGCACATGTCATTTGTCTCGTTCTTCATCTCCCCCTCCATCCTGTACCTAAAATGCAGACGTGATGGCCAAACTCTAGAAGCTATCTTGTGGCACAAGGAATAACAACAAATTGATATTCAGAAGGAACCTGAGTCCCTGAAGATCTAGAGCCAACAGATTAGCTCACAACTGCTTACTGCTATGTTTTTTTTAATGAGAGAAAAAAGTAAACTTCTATCTTAAGCTGTTATGATTTTAGGATTTACTGCTACTTGCAGGGAATCATAAATCTACCTGATACATGTGTGATTTACTTAGTTCTCATGAGCACAGGTACTTGGCTAAGTGCTTTACATATATTGTGTCATTTGGCCCTTATTACTTCCGTGTGTTACTATTTAATATTATAAATAAACTAAAACATATGTAAATAGTTTATCCAAGATCACACAACTACTTAGAGAGGGACATGGGATTTAAATCTATGTCAGGGTCCAAAGCCTTGCTCTTAACACAAAACAGAACAAAGATGCCAATAGGAAGCCCACACATAATGCTTTGAGAAGGGAGACCAGTCATCAGACTTTATTTTTCTGCTCTTTATGACAAGGCCATTCTTATGCCTTTAGATATCCAATTTACCTAAATACCCTAGCACTGACACTATATTCAACAAACAACCTTCTGACTTCAGTAGAGCTGTAACTTAGAGCTATAACATGATTATAAGGATTTTGGGTGTTTTTAATACATAAATAATAAATTGGCGTTCTAATACCTAACTTAATTTCCATTTGAGTTTTAATTACTGGAGATCTCTTGGGGCTTGATTACCCCTGAGCACTAACAAGTCTTTGTATTCGGAAAGGGAACGGAATCAAACCAGCATCTCCATTAGTCAAAAACAAGGTCATTTCCAATTGTATTCACATATACTTTTTACTTTTATTCTCAGTAGTGGAGAAATGAGGGAAATGGGGAGATACTGAAGCAAATAAAAGATATCAGCTAATACAGGAAGGTGATAAAGCCAACAAACTGAAAACTACGGTTTTGGTCACCATCCCTCACTACAGACTCCCACTCTTCTACTACAGTGAAGGTAAGATGGCAAGGCAGCCCACCAAGAAACCATGATTTTCTCACCAATAGAAATCATATACATTTTCATATAGTATAGCTGTTGCAGTGTTGTAAAACACCATTTATGCTCATCTCTTCTTGAAATTACATTAGTTACTAGACTTGCTGGTATACCCTTTAATGTGTTATAAATAAGTATATACTACAATGTTACAAATTTGTTTCATTAATATTTTAGTAACTACACTTCAATAAAATGCACTTTTAGTTTCCTTTGTAATTTTATGCACTTTATTTTAGGCATTTGAAAACATTCTGACAAAGGGCTGTATCAGATTGCCAAAGGGGTATTTGATACAAAAAGTATTAGAAACCTCTAACCTAAACTGTGTGGTTAAAGAAAACACGTAGGATGTTCTTTCTGAACTATAACCCTGTTTTCAACTAGTAATTATACTCAAAGTTTACCATAGACAGCTTTTATGAATAAGATGCTCAACTTAAAAAAAATAAACATTACTAGAATTTTTTCTTAAAAGTTTGTTAAAAACCTTGTTTATATATGCATTTAGTAATTATAAGTAGACAGAAGAGTGACTAAATTCATGTATCTTAAGAAATCAAACTGCTAGAGCTTGATTTCATCAAGTGGACTAATAGGGCTGAATATCCTGTATACTCTAAAGTAAGAACTAGTAGTTGAAAATCAACATGACTAAGAACTTATAATACCAAAAACTGTTAAATCTGGTTATACATTAATTTTATTTTTAGTGATAATATTATTAGGTTTCTTGTAAGCTAATAAATAAAATAAGTAGATTAGTTTTAAGCAAGATATAAACTTAGAAAAATATTTGTATGGTTCATGAAATTATAAAAAGACAAAGCATATATTAAATAATCCACGGAAAGCTTTTCGCACTATTAGCTATTGTTTTATATATTAACATTCAACACTTTCCTCACCTGCCCACCGGCTATAATGGCTCCAAAGAGATGCAATAAGCAACACTTAAGGCTTTCCTTGAGATGTTCACTTTCCTGAAAACACTCTGTGAATATAATACACAAACAAATAAATAAGATTTCTCTTTTTATGGAATGATTTATGTCTAATGAATGTTTGACATGAAACATTGTAAAAAGGCTAAAATCTGTTAAAATGCAAGCTTGATGTATATTTTTTCAAAGGAAAGGAAAAGAGAAACCATTTATGAGGTAGTATTCTGGTGTTTAATTTTTTTATCTCATTTAACGTCATAATACTCCACACGAAGATATTTTGCCCCCATTTATAAATGAGCAAATGAAAGGTCAGAATTTATTATCTTGCCTAAAGTCACAGGGCTAGTAATTAACATCAAAATCAAAGTAAGAGAAAGTGGAGCTATTACTTACGATAAAAGAAAGGGACGAACTCCACGGTGAGAGAAGCTGGTTTGTATTTCTGTCTGCTTTTTTCCACCGTACTAAGGATTCGTCTATCATTAAAAAGGAGTTAATACCAAATTATATCATGGGCAAGTAGAGACAGCACAATTACAAAAAAAATTATAAAATAAGTTTAATATTTTACTTTTGATTTGTGTATTGAATAATACATCTCCAGGACTAACATCATCCTTTTTTTTTAACATTTTATTGGGGAATTGAGGAAGGGGAACAGCATTAGGGAATCGGGGAAGGGAAACAGACAAGTTGCTGTCCTTTTGTTCTTCAGTCTAGTTGTGGAGGACGTCGCTTCACTGGCCTTGGTGGTATTATCATTGAGCTCTTCCCGGGTGAAGCAGTCACTCGCCGGCCACTGGACAGCCACTCACAGCAGCTCACAAAAGCTCATGCCCGCTGCTGGCTAGCCCCACTGCAGCCTACGCCATCACCGGCGACTCACAGCAGCCCAGCTCCAGGTCGAGCAACATGTTGTTCACCATCTTAGCTGTAGAGGGCGCAACGTCACTGGCCCTCATGTGGGATCCGAACCCAGGCCCTGCTGCTCAGAGCTGGCGTCCCAAGCCAACTCTTATCCAACGCGCCACTCGGCCGGCCCAGGACTAAGATAATCTTAAAAAATAAGTCTAGCCATTTACTTAAATCTGACTAATAAAAGAATTTCTTCTTTTGAAGTGAGCAAAAAATTTTAAGTGCTTGATGGTGAAATAGAAGCCAGGTTAAGTCTCCACACTGGAAACAGAAAAAGGAACTAGCCATTTTAAATTTCATATCTGTTAAAGAACTTGATCAGCAGTGCTGCTAATTCAATACCTAAAGTAGTAGCTATTACCACAGTGAACTGAAATTCATCAGAAATCAGGCTACTTTGTGCCATTTTCTGAAATTTTATCTGGACACAAAGAGTCCATAATATTGGCTTCTTTCATCTTAAGGATATAGCTCTAGTATGGACTGGGATCATTTTTGTTTTTAATGACAATTCCATTTGTCACTGGCTGAAGGCTGAAATAGTTCCACAGACTTTGGTAATGCCAACACAAATAATATGGACTTTTACCAACAACATTTCAATTCAACACAAAATGAATCTCTCAGATGTGATGGTGGTGTGGGGAATTGGAGAATAAAGCTACTGTTATAATGATACATCCAACAGGTAGACTACTGAAAATTTTTTTTAAAATACAGACTTTTTTTCATGCTCTGAAAAAGCTCTTAACATTGTTAGATAAAACAAACAATAAATGGAAAATAAGTGAACCACACAGAAATTCTACACATCTAAATATGATCTACTGATAAAGCATTGAATTAAGATGTCTTAACAACCATAATTGAGATATTGAAATTACTTTCCTTATAATTATTCAAAGCTATAAAGAAAAGCCAATTGACCATAGAATAAGCCAAATAAGATAGGCACAGCTGGACTCAGTAATGACAGAATAAAGAGTTATTAAGATATGGATCTAATATCCAGATTTACTGGAAATCATATCAGACACCATTTGCTACTGCACTGCTTTCCAAATCTATGACTATTTCCATTGTGTAGAAGGCATAAGAATTTCCATATTCTCTATATTTATTTTAATTTCAAACACAACATCCTAGAACATTATTGGCTCTTCCTACTTAAGATAATTATCAAATTGTTTTTTTTTTTACTTACAACAATACAAATATTACTGGAGTTTCAAATAAAAAACTTAGTCACACCTTTAAAAAAATTCCATCATGTGGTAGAAAAATTAACTTTAAAAGAACGGAATTTGGGGCCGGCCGAGTGGCACGTTGGTTAAGAACTGGCTTGGGAAGCCAGAATACCCGGGTTCGGATCCCACATATGAGGGCCAGTGACACTGCCCTCTGCAACTAAGATGGTGAACTGCAGCTCGACCTGGAGCTGGGCTGCCGTGAGTCGCCGGCGATGGCATAGGCTGCAGCCCCTGCTGCAGTGGGCTGCCATAAGCTACCGTGAGTGGCTGGCAGCCAGTGTGAGCGGCCAGCAGCCACCGTGAGCAGCCGTCCAGAGGCCAGCGAATGATCTGCCTTGCCTGGAAAGAGCGCAATGATGGTGCCAGCTTGGGCCAGTGAAGCAACATCCTCCACAACTAGGCTAAAGAACAAAACAACAACAACTTGTCTGTTTCCCTTACCCCGACCCCCCAATAAAATCTTTAAAAAAAAAAAAGAACAGAATTTATTTTTCAGTTATGGTATTCCATGAGATTATTTACATTTTGTACATTTATTATCAATTATGGTATTAATAGATTAGATATATCCTATCCAAATATCCCATGCTACAAACTACAATAAACATTCTCACTTGATTAACATAATAAAAATATACTCCTGCAATTTGTGATTAATGACTCATTCTAAAGGCCCTGTATTAGATGTAACATATGAACATAAACAATTTCCGTTATAGTTGTGGGAAATTTTAATATGCTAATATAAATAAAAGTGGTTAAAACTATTATACGTAACAAATATTAAAGCATCAGTAGTTGGCACTACATGTTTTCAATAGATTAAGACAGAACAGCTATGAACTTAGTCTTGTAGCATTTTCAGAACATAGCATACGGTTGCTACATTATCTGATATTTGGGCCAAGCACCTAGTATTTAGCAGGTTCTAATACATATCAACAGCTTTCTGAGAGGGCTGCAAAAAGTTTGTTTACATCTCAGTTTTCTAAGTTCGTGTCCCCTGACATGAGTTTTCTAAATTCATGTCAATTTTTCTAAATTTCCTAAGTTTTCTAAATTCATGTCAATTTTTCTGTGCTTCGTTTTTGTGCTCCCATCATGCGTAGGACATAATTATTTTCTTAATTTTTAAAATTTTTATCTGGAAATAAGTTCAAACTCTTGCAAAAGTTGCATGAATAAAAATAATACAATAATACAAAGAACTTCAAATATAGTTTACCCAGGTGCATTGTAAAATTTTATCCCAAATGTTTCATCATTTGCTCACTCTTTCCCCATACATACTACTGCTACTACATACATACATATATATTTGTAAACACACATGTTCAGACGTAATATTTCAGAACATTTAAGGAGAAATTATGTATACTGTGGCCTTTTACCTCTAAATACTTTAGTGAGTATTCCCTAAGAACAAGAATTTGTCTTAAATAACAACACAGTGTAGTAATAAATGTCAGTACATTTAACATTAATACATTTATTTATCTAATCTACCATTCATAATCCAGTTTTGTCAATTGACCCAATAGTGCCCCCACCCCATTACAGCTTCCTGTCCAGCATCCAGATATTGCATTTAGCGGTCATATCTCTTTTTAATTTTTAAAAATTTTTTATCAAAATATAGCTAATATACAAATTATATTAGTTTCCGGTATACTCCATAGTTATTTAACATTTATATACCTAAAGAAGTGATCACCATGATAAGTCCAGTAACCATCTGACACCATACCACACTATCACATTATTCCTTATTCTGTACATTATATTCCCATGAGTTAATTGTTTTATACCTAGAGATCTGAAACTCTTATTCCCCTTCAGCTCTTTTCCCCCTTTTTAGCTGTTACGTCTCATTTGGCCTCCTTTAATCTGAAACATTTCCACAGCCTTTCTTTATGACACTTTCGAAGAATATTGTTCCCCAACCTCTTTTATTCATTAAAATGTTCTTCATTTTGGGTTTGCTTGATGTTTCTATACAATTAGATTCAGATTATGCATTCTTGGCTGGAATACTATACAAGTAATGATGTGTCCTTCTTTGAGTGTCACAGTTGAAGGCACAGATGTCCAGCTGCTTCTCACTGATGATGTTAATTTTGATCATCCAGTCAATGTACTATCAGTACCGTACAAAATAATTACTAATTTTTCCTTTGCAACAAATACGTAATGTGTGTGGGGAAACATTTTAAAACCATGCAAAAATCATGTTGCTTATCAAAATTTCCCCCTAGATTAGCATCCTGATCCATGTTTCTCATGATGTATGCAAAATGCTGATGTTTTTCCAACACTAGCATCCTCTGTATGTTTACTAATTGTTATTTGGCCTTCTAGTGTAAGCAAGAGCCATTTGTTTTCCCTTTATCTATCTATCTATCTATCTATCTATCTATCTATCTATCTATCTATCATCTATCTATCTATTCATCTATCTATCACTGGTGTGGACTCATGAATTCCTTTTTCCCCCCAATGGTTTCTAATTCTTTATTGTAATTAATTATTTTCATGCATACATTGTTCCAGACTTGACCAGTAGGAGGTCCACAGCATAACTTAATCATTTTTCTCTGTGGGCAGGCAATGAGTCCTACTGAACTTGCACAAAGTAGAAACTCAATAAATATATTTTTAAATAAATGCTTGAATAAGTTATTTTCAGGGAAGATTTCTTTCCCTATACTTTAGTTCCACTTGAGAGAATCTTTCTAAATATGTGAATTCTACAAACAGAATCAAACGTCAGCTAATGTATTGATCAAATCTATTAATTAAATCAAATTACATATGGAAATATGTAAACATTCATATGTTTCATCAAACAAGAAATTTTAAATGGCTCTGTATTTGGAATTATGCTAATTTTAATTAAATCTGTTTTAATCTGTTTTATCTGTTTTGGTAAGCAACAAGCACAAACAATAAATAAGAAAAACTGTATGTTACAAATTTCCACTTAACTTCAGAATCAGGTAACATATAAGGTATAAGTTATTGCTGAAGAACTCTTGTATAGGTCTTCCATAAGCTACAGATTTCTCATAATTCCATGATATATCTGTATTGTTTCATTTCCCTATTAGTCAAAACCAAAGAAACTCAACTCTAAATCCCTGCTTTACTGTTTACCTCTGAAGCAGTTCTTACTATCACTGGCAAAATTGTTATGGCTATAGAGAAAATACATGGAAAGCTTCCAGCATAATTCCTGGCATATATATTGTACACTCATGAACTGCCACCACTCATCCTCTACTCTTTGTTCCTTTTCCTGCTGTTATCTTACATATGGAGAATTCTCTTTCTACATTATATTACAATGTTTAAATTTTTCTTCTCTTTTTTGGCTCTCAAAAGTTGTTTTTGTTTTCAATTACCAATTTTATTTAATTTGTTTTAATTTGTTCTTTGTTGTACCTTTTTATATCTTCTCTCCTCTCTAGTATTTAAATTCATTTTGCTCTTAAAAATTCCTTTAAAAGCCTGTCATTTTCAATCTCATCTATGTTCCTCTTCCTGTATATATCTTGCTGTCTAAAAGAAAAATTCTCTGTCATTGTTTCAAAATTTAAAATGTTATCTTAGAGTTGCCATTACTGAAAAGTTTAATGTGGAGGACAGGGAAATAGCAAGCGTGAGAGAAAGAGATGTAATGCCCTTAAGAACTCCCTGGCATAAATGTCAATATAGAGGGAACATTGATTAGTTAAGAACCAAAGTGCTAAATAAATGCTTGAATAAGTAAGCCATTTTCAGGGAAGATTTCTTTCCCTATACTTTAGTTCCACTTGAGGGAATCTTTCTAAATAAGTGAGACTCTACAAACAGATTCAAAATTTAGCGAATATAGTAATCAAATCTATTAATTAAATCAAATTACATATGGAGATAGATAAACATCCATATGTTTCATCAAACAAGAAATTTTAAATGGCTTTGTATTTGGAATTATGCTGATTATGCTAATGGAGTGCTGTTATGTGCCTCTTTGAATCTTTCAAGTCATGAGCAGTGCACAGGTAGAGGGAAAAGGAAAAGGCAGTGACAGTGCTATTTGCCAATTATTTCCACATCTACCCCTTCTAGTCACATAGTAGAACTAACTTCTTGTTCTCACTGTAGTAGATGCGGACACATGCTTACTTCTGGCCAGTTAAGTTCTGAATAAAAATGAGATGTGTCAGGATGACACAAGAGCATTAAATTGCCAATGTGAGACATTTCAGAGCTTTCTTTTCTCTCACATGGTAACTAGCAAAGCCTTAGATGCTGCTCTCTCAGCTTGGGATCTTGAGTGACTATGATGATTAGAGGCTACCTGCCAACCATGTTAGACAGGCAGGATAAACAAGAAATAAACCTGTGTTATTCTAACCCCTTATTTGTTACTGACCATAATCTATCTTGTCCTGACTGACACAACATCTTTACCAAGGAAAGCTCAAAGCACTTCCTCCCTGGGAAAAGAAGACATATTGAAGCTCAACAGAAAAGCAAGTATTCAGAAGGTCATTAGTACCTCCCAATTAATAAACAGTCCAGAAAAGTATTGTGACAATGTGATGGTTAATCTCATGTGCCTCTCCAAGCAAGGGGGAATTAATTCTCCAGCAGACTGCCTTTGGGCTTCATCTGCATCAGCATTTCTGAGTCTCCAGCCTGACTGCCTTTGGATTGGGACTGGAACATTGGCTCTCCACCTGCCAGCCTTCAGACTGTAACTGTACCATTAATGTTCCTGGGGCACAAGCCAGCCAGTCCACATTGTAGGTTTGAATTGCCATCCTTTATAATCACATGAAAAAATTGCTTACAATAAATGCTTCTAAACACACACACACACACACACACACACTCTCTCACACACTCACTCTCTCTCTCTCTCTCTCTCTCTACTGGTTCTGTTGCTATGGAGAACCCTGACTAATAAGGACAACTTCTCTCAGGCATAAAGGAAAGTAAATAGGATTATTATAAATAAGCAGACAGGATTGCTATAAATAATAACTGGGGTATTCATTCCTATTATTCTACTTCTTCTTGCTTTAAAAAAAGGATGCACTATTTTAATAAAATACCACTATATAGAACATACAACTATTACCACATAGTCTACATAAATGTTCTCTTTTATCAATTCTTCACCATGATCTAATGCTAGCTATTCAAAGTGAGAGTATACTACCCTAAAAACCCTGAAAAGCCTAAAAAAATCAAACATTTCAGTAATAAAATGTTGCAGGAAGTGGGAATTATTTATAAGTGGATCAGATTAAATTGAAAATGAAAATGGAAAAATCTTAAGATTGAAAGTATAGCAGGTTTGGGAGACCTAAAAAAGAGGTCTGATTGTGTGTGACGATGCAAATCTTCCCATTCTGTGCCCACAGGTAAAAAAGACATGAGTTTAAAACTCTTCTCCTTGAGCTCCATACTGGTAATTATGCTGTTGTCACTATTCGCCAAACCTATCATCCTATTGGGTTGTCAGAAAAGTCATGACACATTTTTGCAATGAAAAACATAGAAAAAACACATCATAACTTTTCTGACAACCTAATATATTCTATCTATTTTGTGATGCTGGGACAGGCACTCTGCAAACTACATTTTTTTCCAGCTACCCTACTCTTGGGTTCGTCAATACTGGGTACTAATGGAGCCTGAAAGGATGAAAGCGTGAAAAGGGAATTGATTCCTTATACCTTACTTTTTACTGGCCAACAGTTTTTAACTGTAGCATTCACAGTTGATTCCTATCTTCTGCTTCTTTTTGGCAGTCTCAAAACCAGCCTCTTTATGACTGCTCAGCAATACCCACATTGGCTAAGCCATGCTCTTTCCTGAGGTCCAAGCCCCAGCACTGGAAGACCTCTTCTTCAAACTTCTAGTTTCTCTAATAATTCCAGTCTCTTCCATTTGTTCCCACAGCCCCAGGGAAGTAGCTGCTTCCTGAAGTCACTATGTTTGCATTATTGCTGTACCCCTGTTTTTTCAATTCTCTAATACTTACTTAACAATTTCCTTGTATTATATTCTCTCTTTTTAAATACTAGTTTGGTTTCTGTTTTCCTGACTAGACCCTGACTGATATAAGTTCCACAATTAAAAATAAATGACAAAATATTGTTTAAAATCATTTTCAAATTATGAAATATGCTTTAAAAACAGAGATCATATTGTTCCGTAAAAAAATATGTACGCTCTACTTGATGCTACTGTGCTTTGAAATTTCCCTATCTGATATTAGCATTCAATTGAACTACAAAATAAAAGTTCAGGGTAAACTGATTATCAGGAAGTAGAATTTATCATGAATTCATTACCTCCAATATAGTTCTCTACATCAGAGACAAATATAGTTGTTGTCTTATACACATCTTACCAATTGATTTCAGAGAATAAGACCTGCTTTGAAGAATTGTATGTATTATGACATTCAGGTTTTGAATGAAAATTATGACTTGTAAGACATACCCTGAAATTCTATGTCTCCAATTCCGATACGGATCATATAAGCTTTCACAAAATGCCAATGCGTGGATCACAAATTCTTCAATAGATGTCTGATCTGCCAATTCCTTCTCTTTTTTTTTGCTTTTTAACTGAGAATGAAGTTAACCATAAAATTATATCCAGTAAAAATATTAAACTGTATAACATCCTTACCTACATCATTAAAGGACTACATGTTTCATTCATCATCTAATAACAAATCATTTTTATTCCAATAACCCTAAGGTTCCATTTGAGTCTAAAGATAGTCAATTAATCATATAAACTGAATATAACCTCTCAAATTTTAAATATTTCCTAGGAAGGTTTCCAATGAATAACCCTAATATCCTTCCAAAAAAGAGTATGTTTTCAATAATAAATACATAAAATGACAAATTGTGTCATTTTAAAAAGCCATTCATAAAACACTTAAATTTTTTAATTAAAATAACAAAATATATTATTAACTCCTCTATTTTTAGATATATATAAGGTGCCTAAAATATATTGTACCAATAGTGATTTTAATTCTCTTCTCAATTATCATGTACTCTGAAAACATTTAACTTTACTAACTATAATATTTAAAAAAGTAAAACCTAGTTACTGTCAGTAAAGCAACAAAAAAGGAATATATTAATTCACACCTACTTGCTGAATATAGAGTGTTGTCATAGTGATGACATGATTAATGTAAGAGCAAGGTCCAATTTCTTCCACATTAGATAGATTTCTGTGAGAAAAAAAGAATACATGTATATTTACTACAAATAAATAGTGAGAAAAGTGTATACTCATGTAGTCAGGTTAAACTCTGAAAACACATGTCGGCAAATGAAATACAAATGACATTTCATGTAACCCTCCCTATGTCTTCTCCTATGATTCTAAAGTATAAAATAAGCTGCAAAACTGCCATTCTCCAGAGCATTTTCTCAATCCGCTGATACCTTGCTTCAGGGCATGTCCTCAACATTTGGCTCTAATAAACTGTTATAAAACTTAAAAATAAACAAACAATTGTCACTTTTGCCGCTTCTGTTCAACACAGGACTGGCAAAGTCTATCTACAGCAATTAGGCAAGAAAAAGAAATAAAAAGCATCCAAACTGGAAAGGAAGAAGTAAAATTATCTGTTTGCAAATAATATAATTTTATAGGTAGAAAACTCTAATGATTCCACCAAAAAAAAAAAAAAACCAAAAAAACTCCAATAAACAAAAACCAAACTATGAGAATGAATGAATTCAGCAAAGTAGGATATAAAGTCAACACATAAAAATCAACTGCATTCCTATACACAATAAATAATTTGAAAAGGAAATCATAAAAAAACTTCCATTTACAACAGCATCAAAAAGAATAAAATACTTAGGAACTAACCAAAGAAATGAAAGATTTGTACAATGAAAACTAAAAAACATTGCTGAAAAAAATTAAAGAGAATATAAATAAATGGAAACACATATCATGTTCATGGATTAAAAGACTCAGTATTGCTAAAATGTCAATACTACCCAAAGCAATCTCCAGATTCAATATAATCCCTAACAAAATCCCAATATTTTTTTGCAGAAATCAAAAAACCCATGCTAAAATTCATATGGAATCTCAAGAAACCCCAAATAACCAAAACAATATTAAAAAAGAACAAAATGAAGGACTCACTCTTCCTGATTTTATTTCTTAGTACAAAGCAAATCAAAACACTATGGTATTGGTAGACATATATGAAGTCTGACAATTAAGTTTGCAAACTCGTCCTAGAAAAAGTGCTACATACCTTATTGCTGAATATCACTATGGTCACCTTCGAAGTACTCCCCTTGGGAAGCTATGCACCAATGCCAACGCCTAATCCACCCTTCAATGCAATTTTAGAACTCTTTTTCTGAAATGGCCATCAGAGCTGTAGTCATATTACCCTTGATGTCCTGAATGTCATAAAAATGTCTTCCTTTCAATATTTCATGTATCTTCAGGTAAAGAAAGAAGTCACTGAGGGCCAGATCAGGTGAGTAGGGAGGGTGTTCCAATACAGTTATTTGTTTACGGGCTAAAAAACTCTCTCATAGACAGTGCCGTGTGAGCTGGTGCACTGTCATGATGCCATAGCCATGAATTGTTGGTGAAAAGTTCAGGTCGTCTAACTTTTTCACGCAGCCTTTTCAGCACTTCCAAATAGTAAACATGATTAACTATTTGTCCAGTTGGTACAAATTCATAATGAATAATCCCTCTGATATCGAAAAAGGTTAGCAACCCTCATGTCTTATTAGAGAGACCACTTCATGGACGGTGTAGAGGCCTGACCACTGCACTGTACATCTGAAGCTGCCACTGAATAATATTATACGTCAACTATAATTTAATATATATATAGTCATGGGATGTGGAGTAAAGTGTGGGAATGTAGTCAATGAAATTGTAATAGATATGTATGATATCAGATGGTGGGGAGTTGTCACTTTGTGAGGGGTGAAAAGGATAACTATTGCATTGTTTTGTACACCTGAAACTAATATTAATAATAAAAAAATTTTTTAAAAAAAAAGAAAAGGTTAGCAAGCTCATTTTGACTCTTGATTTAGGCTGATGGAACTTTTTTGGCCGTGGAGAACTGACTGACTTCCACTGCGAACTTTGACTCTGTTTCAGGGTCATATTGGTACATCCATGTTTTATCACCAGTGATAACACAGCCCAAAACATCGTCTTGCTTCTCCGAAAGGTCTTTGTAAACTGAGACTCTCTTTTGCTTTTGTTCATTGGTAAGCTACCTCAGGACCATTTACGCACACACCTTTCTCATGCCAAGATTTTCAATTAAGATTTTCCTAACTGTTTGTATATCGATGTTTACTTGGTCTACAATGTTTCTCAGTCAGCCAATGATTTTGAAGCATAGGTTGATGAATTTTTGCAATGTTTTTGTCAGTTCTGCTCGTTACTGGCCACCTGACCTCTCTTCATCAGTGATGTGTTCTCTCTCCTCAGAAAAACATTTAATCTGTTTGTACACTGCCATTTTCTTCATGGCATTATTCCCATAAACTTGGATTGCCATGTCCCTGATTTCACTTCCACTCTTGACAAGTTTAACAAGAAATTTAATGTTTGTTCGTTGCTCTAATTCAAGTTCAGACATTCTCGCGATGGCACACAAAACAAATGCAACAACAATAATGAACGCCACTCAGCAAGACATCACCACATGTCAACATGAACACAGCTGTGAGACACTGATATATCAAGGTTGTGAAACCTTACTGAGCTGTTTGTACAGTGCTGCCAATGTAAGCACATGGTGGCAAGTTTGCGAACGTAACTGTCAGACCTTGTAGGTATAGTAACTAAAATGCTTTCCAATATAATGCCAAACCACAAGCCTATTGCAAAAGGTGCACTCATCCTTTAATGCTCCATATGAAAACACCGTTTAATAATCAATAAATGTATTATCACCTTGGTAATAATTACTTAAAACATATAACTAGTTTATTTGTAGCAGATACCTGCAAAGAATAATGAAGAACTTGACAAGCAAAATTGACAAGGCTTGTTGCTGTTCCTCTAACCCATCTGCCATTTTCTGAACACAGTGTAGTAGCTGGATCCTCAGAACCTGCAGAATATTGTCAGGAAGCAGAGATATTCCTGGAGGGACATCATCTACCCTACAATATATGGGGAAAAAATTAGAAGGGTGCTTAAATACAGGAAGAAATATTTTGCACTTCAAAGGAACTGCATTTTCAGCTTAAATCCTAAAGAAGCTCTTTTATTTCAGACACTCTGTGCCTTCTCTGCAAGGCACCACCAGATAGTTATTGACACTTAGGAAGGTTATTAGAGACGAGTGGTTAGTCTTACTTCAGAGGAGACTTACTGAAAAGGGGAGGCGGGGCAGGGGGGTGGCTTTTTAATATTTTCAATTACGCTACTTTCAAAGAAAATATTTAGAATATAAATTAGTCTACTTTCTATTTAAAAGTACAATATGTGTGTGGTATGTGTGCATACGATATGTAAAAGAAACAATAACTAGCAAATAAAAATGAAGTACCTATCACTAGTTTAATATATGTTGACTGCTTTACTAAATAAACAATATTCACCTACCTATAGATTCCCCAAGCCACGTGATCTGAAGAGGGAGAGAAGATAACCAGCAAAAAGAAAGGAGAAAGATAAAGAGGTGAAGGTAGAACTCCGAGCATGAGCATCAATAGAAGATTTTTTTAAATAATATATCAATATGTTTGACAACAGTTTCTACGTAAGAAGACTATGGTTCTTTAAGGGCAAAAGCCAATATCAGATGTGACTGGCTCCTCTGTGTGTGTCTCATAATAAAAACCCTCTAGATTGAAAGTCAGAAGACCTGCGTACTAAGTTTCACCTCTGTGACATGAAGCACTTCATTTAATCTCTGAAGCTCCCTAATGTATAAAATTGTAATATCATCTGCCTTATTTAACAGGGTTCTGAAACCATAAAGTCAATGTCAGCTTTGAAATATATAAAAAACTCTAAAAATGAAATATATTTTAAATATAATATCACTAAAATTTAAGAATATTTTCATAACCCGTTGTACACTAATTTCCCTATCTCTATTAAGAAAAATACCCAAAACGCAAAGGAGCACCCTAAAGAGCTCTATTATTAAATAACAATTATACTTTATGAGTGTCTCTTCAGATAATGCTTAATATGAAGTATTGCTACTATTTTTACACTGAGTAAAAGGCTATTTCATTCCTGTGGACAGAAAAAATTGAATCACATTATTAGTGTCACATAAATATATATAATAAATATTATTATCCTCTTTCTTTTTTTTTTTTAGCTGAGCCATCCTGCCATATTATCCTCTTTCTGAACCACACCACAATGTAAATAGTTTTATAAAATAAACACCTGATTTTAATTAAATTACATAGAAAATAAGTCACAAAGCACATTACCAAGATTGCCAAATTCTATAACCATGTTACAAAACATATGTTTCATTTTAGTCTGGGCATCACTTCACTTGTAACTGTGGATGCTTTCATTCTCTTTTATTTATAAAAGGTATTAGAAAAACTTTCATTTTTATATATTTATTTTTCTGTTGAAAAGCTTAAAAGCGGTAATTATAAAAACCAGAGTAACTTCAAATAAAGATTTAATATAAAAATTTTCAAGATTAAACTAAACTATTCCTCCTCACTTTTACAAAAACATATCAACAATAAAGAAAACATTAGATTAATCAATATTCAATCCTACTTACTTAAAGGAGTAGTTCCTTTTGTCCTCATTTGTCCCATTCTCTATTTGCACATCCTTTTTAATTTTACTAAACAGAAAAAAAAAGCTTCTAAAAGAAGAAATATACGTTTTTTTACTAATTCTCATTATAAAATTGGAGCTTGGTTAGAACATGACTTATAGACAAAATTGAAATTTTTAGCCATGTTCCTAATATGATGAAGATTTAAGAATTTAGAAGCATTTACCCACTTCTAGGGTTTTATTGCCCAAAATTGTACTGAATGTCTATTGTAAACTGCTGCGAATTTTTATCTCCACCTAACACATGAAGAATTTGTGGCTGCTGAGAAAGAAGATACCTGCCAAGAAGGGCTTCTGGAGGCTAACTGGGCTCAAATTTTAAAAACAGAGCCTAGTAGCTGTTTCTACACAGGGGCCTTTCACCCAAACTGTGCTCAAGGAGAGGACTGCACTGAACTTCCTGCCTACACTGTGTTCCTGTCATCTGAGCCAGCCACCTTTATAATGGGTGTTCTGGGAATTGTATTTCAACCAATAGGACTAAGGCGTTCCCTGTTCAATTAGAGCTGGACAACTATATCCCCATCAGCATCTTCACCAACCAATCAGAGCAGCTCCATTTTGACCAATCAAACTTCTAGGATTTGGAGCCTTTATTTGCATGAGAATGGACCAATCAGAGACCAGGGGTGGGACTGCTGTCTGCATAAGTCAGCTCCCCTCTGGCTCAGAGAGTGCACTTTCCCTTTCCACAGATGACTGAAGACTGTGTTTCCCTGGCTGGAGCTGAACCACCAAAGACGAAACACCGAAGATGTTTCGCCAGACCAGAGAGGAAGAGAGCACAGTGGAGCTGTCTAACCTGAGAGGGGCCTCACCCCAGGACCGCCTTATCCCAGGGCCACCTCACAGTTCTGCTGTTCCACAGTCATGCTGTTCTCACAGCTGGGCTGTATCACAATTGAGCTGTTTGCAATGAATAAACTTCCCTTCGTCACTACACCCCAAACTGGGGATTCCTTGTTGGCACTGAAATGGTGCAAAAGACCATTGGTTGACAAAGTCCAGCTTAAATTGCAAGGCTTTAAATTATGGTGAATGCAATCTTTGCCTTGTGTTACGAATTCTGTAACTTGGAAATTCAAGTCACTTTAATGATTATCTGTGAATTTCTTATCTTTAAGATGACTAGGCTAATTTTATACATCTTGTACATAGCGTTCATTTGAAAAACTAAAAGTTTCCTACTAGTGAAATCTACATTCATAGTTCAGTTTTCTGACAAAAGATATGAAATACAATTTTAAATAAACCAACAAAATCACAAATAAAGCAATGTTCTTGGCATTCTTCATCTTACTTTAAGTACAGTAGTGGCAATTTAAGTCTACATAATGTTTTTAGAAATGACCTCCTATAAAAGGAGATATTTATAATTTATAATGTATGGATGATAACAAGTGCATCTTAGAAAATCCCAAGCATTGAAAGGCCCAGATTTTAACTCCATTAGACTCATGATTTAAAATGAACTGTAAATTACTAAAATAAAAGCACTTCACACAAACTACAAGAATACTCTTTTATGAGTAGGAATCAGTAATACGTACTCTTATTTTAAAGTTCAAGATTTAACACTTCTCAACCTTTATAAATGTGTTACAAATAATCTAACCAGGAAGAACTCTGAAACTGTAATTATATAACTATGAAGTACTATTGTTTTCGGAACATAACCATATTCTTTCTTAAGTTCAATGCTTGGTCCAAAGCTCTAATGATTTCATTCTCCAAATTATTACAATTACCTCTTGCTACTTGCCTTCAGTCTCAACCCTTTCCAATGCAAGCTCCATAATGACACCAAAGTGACTTCAAAAAAAGAAAATCAATTTTCTTTCTGGACAAGATGGTGGAGTAGGTAAACATTGTGCTTACATCCTTTCATGACCATATCAAAACTACAACTAAATTACAGAACAACCATCACTGATATTGCCTGAAGTCTAGATGAACAGAAGTCCTATAAGTAAGGATACACAGAAGAAGCCATCTGGAGACTGGTAGGAAGGGCAGAGACACAGGACATGCTGGCCCCACACCCACATGTGGCAGTTAAAAATCGAGAGGAATTCCTTGGCTGCAGCAGTACCCCCTGAGCAGCAAGGTTCCCTAACCCAGGGATCCAGTGCTAGGAAGAGAAGTTCCCACAACCTCTGGCTGTCAAAACCAGCAGAAATTGTGGGTGAGTGAGACGAAGGGCTGCTGGAGTCCCAGACACTCCTCTTAAAGAGCCCACACACGAACTCACTCTCTCTGAGTTTCAGCTCTGGGGCAGCAACTCAAAAGGCACCAGAGACGTACAGGGAGGAACTGAATTGTCTGGCTTCAGAGCGAGGGCTGGAGGGGCAGTTTTCTCCCAGACAAAGCGCTGGCAGAAGCCATCGTTCTTTTGTTGAGCCCTCATCCAACCCAGCAAGCAGACACAGACAAATGCCATATCTGCCATCTGAATACAAACAAAACAGAAACAAACTAGATACAGAGAACATTTTGATGGTTGCCAGATGGGAGGTGGGGTTCGGGTGGGCTGGGTGAAAAAGGAGAAGGGATTAAGAAATACAAATGGGTAATTACAAAATAGTCATAGGGTTGTAAAGTATAATATAAGAAATACAGTCAATAATACTGTAATAACTATGTATGGTGTAAGATGGGTACTAGATTTATCAGGGTGATCACTTCATAAGTTATATAAATGTCTAGTTACTATGTTGTACACCTGAAACTAATAATATTGTATGTCAACTGCAATTGAAAGATAAAAAAATTATTTTAAAAAAAACTTGATCATGACACTCTTATGCAGAAAATTCTTTAGTAGAGCCTCATGTCTTCCATAACAAAAAATCAAAGTCTATTAGCTGTGCATGCACTGTACTTCATGATATGGCTACTATTTGAGTCTCCAGATTCAACTCATCTGTGCCTACCCTCTTACTGCCTACCTCCATCCCTAAACTACAAATACTTTCCTCCTTGAAGATTTTTAATTCTCCAAATACTCTTTATCATTAACAACCACCCATTTCTCCCCTCTCCTCTCAACACATCTCTATAAACAGAGTTCCTTTTGTGGCTAAAATTGTCTCCTCATTTGTCCAGCTTTTTAACCCAGCCAACCTAACCTCTCTTACTTGACTAACAACTACTAAGCCTCAAGACGGCTAGAGATACAAAAAAAACTTTATCTAGGAAGTGGGCCTGGGAACTGTGACAGTGGGGAAATAGTGGTAAGAAGAGGAATGGGGAGAAAGAATTGTACTTTCACTTATGCTTTTCTGTAAGATTTCAGTCCCCCTGTCCCGCATTTTATGATTTTAAAATCTTTTTTAAAATCTGAATACTTCACCTCCTCCAAGGTGTTTTCTAAGGCCAGGAATTTAAGTAAGTTTCAACTCTCATGCCTTTGGTATAATAAAGAAATCTGTGCAAATGAAGTAACTCATGGTGGGCCTGTAGACAGTTTTGAGAGGGGCTGGTCACATGTGAAAGAACCCGCCATGAAAGATACTGCTCCCCCTAACTTTATGGGAGGGGAGAGGAGCTGGTGACTGAGTTCAATCACATGATCAATGATATAGTAAGACCCAATAAAACTATGGACACCCAAAGCTCAATGAGTTTTCTTATTTGATGTTCAGGGAACGTAACATGCCCTGATTCCATAGGTAGAGTGCATGGCAGCCCTGCATCCAAGAACCTTCCAGGCCCTGTCCTACATGTATCCTTTATGACAAAATCAAAATAGTAAGTATAGCATTTTCAGTGAGTTCTGTGAGTTGTTCTAGCAAAGTATTGAAGCTGAGGGGGTTGTGAGAACCTCCAAGTTTATAGTTAGTTGGTCAGAAGTGTGGGTGGCTCCTAAGACTTGCAAACAGTGCCGAAGTGAAGGCAGTCTACTGAGGACTCTGTCCTTAACTTATGGAATCTGGCGTTAACTCTGGGTCCTGTCAGAATTGAGTGAATTGCACGACACCCAGTTAGTTAGTTGTCAATGGCTCACCAAAGTAGAGAAAAGGCTTCTACAAGCCAAGTCTAGTATCAGCAAAAAAGACTGCTGTGATCAATTAGCAATGTATGCCATGAGAGCAGATTTACACAGGAGTATCATGTGTGTCACATAAATGCAATCCTTGCATATGTCATCAAAAAAGTCTTTGTGCCAAAATTTAACACACTCACCCAAAGGTAAGAAATTAAGTGTTTCCACATACCTGGTAGGCAGCTTTTCAAAGTCAACATCTAAGAACTGTTCATAGCTAGAAACAAAATTGTCCAACCACAGCTTCAGGTAATCTGGATCTTTCTGAAATAAGAAAACCATTAGAATATTAAGTATACCGGTCAGGGGAAGAAAAAAAAAAGCTTTTATTCGTATTCAGCAGATATAAATTGAAAAATCTAAAGAAGCAATAAAATGAAATCTCTAAGTGATATTTAAGAAGACATACATGTATTAAGTCTAGTGAACCCTGAAATAGCTTTTCATGGCACTCATGCAAAGAGCTACAGCCTCAACAATGTCCTATAAGATTCCAAACAATTTGCTCTCCCTTATCTCTGTGACCTTATCCACTATCACCCTGTGCTACACTGGCTTCCTGGCTGTCACGGGGACACACAAGAATGTCTTAAGGCCTTTGTATTGGCTGTTTTCCCTACCTAGAAATTCTTCCCTCAAATAGCTGAATGGCTACATCCATCATCTTCTTCAAGTTAATCTTTAGATAACATATTCTCAATGAAGCCTAATTTTACCACCCTTTCTTAAAATTGCAAACCTTCTTACTAACTTTACCTTACCCTATTTTGTTGCTTCAGCTCATAGTTTTTCTCACTTTCTAACACACTCTATAATTTACTTATTTATTAATTTGCCTGTCATGTTCTATCTAAGGGCCTACCTGAGTGACCTCTTTTTGTTTAAAATGGATACCAAGTACCTAAAACAGTACCTGGTACTGACCAGGTACTCAATAAATATTTGTTCAATGAGTTAATGAGAAATATGAAATGCATAAATCAAATCAAATCAAAGATGGTTCATTAACCTAAACAAAAAAACAAAAACTAAAATCTTTTAAAAGAAAACATAGGAGAATACCTTTGTAACTTTGGGGTAGACAAAGATTTCATAGCTAGGACATAAAAATCACAAACCAAAAAAAAGAAAAAATGGCCTTAATCAAAATTAGAAACTTCTAATCATCAAAAGATATCATTAAGAAAATAAAAAGGCCATATACCAGCTGAAAATATCCTCAGTACATATATCTGACAAAGGACTCATACAAAGAATATACAAAGAACTCCTATAAACCAATATCTTAATTTATAAATGGGCAAAACACTTCACAAAAGGGGATACACAAAGGGCTAATGAGCAGCACATGAAAGCATGTTCAACATCATTAGTTATCCAGGGAAATGCAAATTAAAATCAAATAAAACACCATTATACAACCACTAGAATGGCTAAAAGTAAAAAAACTAACCATACCAAGTGTAGCTAAAGATGTAAAGTAAATGGAACTCACATTTCTGGTGGGAGTATAAACTGGTATAATCACTTGGAAAACAGTTTGGCAGTTTCTTTTAAAGTTAGACATAGATTTACCACATGGCACAGACATTCCTCTGGAGAGAAGTGAAAACATATCCACAAAACTCCTTGTACAAAAATGTTCACAGAAGATTTATTTTTAATAGCCAAAAGCTGGACACAAACCAAAATTCCATCAACAAGTTAACTGATAAACAAATTGTGCTATATTCACACAGTGGAATGCTAATCCCCAGTAACAATGAACTACTGATACGAGTAGAAATTTGAAAAACATGTTGAGCAAAAGATGCCAGGCATTAAAGCATAAACACTGTATGATTTCATTTACACGAAGTTCTACAGCAGGCTATGGTAACAGAAATTAGATCACTGGCTGTCTTTTAGAAGACTACAAAGGTTTGGAACAAAGGGAACCTTCCTAGGTGATAGAAATTTTCTGTTTTTCTATTAGAGTAGTAGTTACATTAATGTTTGCCTGTATCAAAACTCATCAAATTGACACTTAAAATCTGTGCATTTATGGTAAGTTACATCTCTAAGCTGATTTGAAAGAACTATGATTCATCAGAAATGTCTTTTTAAATATAAATTGCATCATAAAAATGATGCTCAAATTTGTTTCCTTCACCTCATCACTTCTTTAGTCAATTTCAATATGATACTCAGGAGTCTTAGTTACTTAGTCATTAAATGCCATTAGATAGGAACTGCTCTTGGATAAAAGGAACTCAAGTAATTTATTAACCTAAAATAAAAGCATTACACTACAAATCAGAATTCCTAAAAGAATGTTCCCAGAATATGCAGACTGCTGACCTTTTGTGTATTTGTTTTTCTATTAATATACTGTTCCACAATCAGATAGTAAATTGCCACTATCCACATCATCACTGAGAAATAAGATGGAAACATTTCAGAAAAAGAACTATCTTGTGAGAAATCTTCTCAAGGATTTCATTACTTTTATCATTTCCAACTACCATGTCATTCATTCATTCATTTATTCATTCAGAACAGGACTCCAGAAATACAAGTAGCTGGAGTTTTCCTTATCACTGTTCCTTTTTAATAAAGCAAAGGATTATTTCTCTGTAAAAGTTAGAAACAAAACCGTCTCATAATGCCATAAAGAATTAATGCATTTCTCCTCATAGTTTATTCAGGAACTCTACAGTATCTGGTTCAACATCTAAAGGTCAGTCTTACCAAGTGTTTGGCAAGTACAGACTTCTCCTAAGAAGTTGAACAACCATAAGGAAAGAAATGGTACTTAAATTTGGAAATGTTTCATCTAGTAAGAAATAAAACAGTTTTCTGAGCATCTGCCACGTGCTAAGCACTATAGCAGGCATTAAATCTGTCCCCCTCTCTCTCTCTCTCTCTCTCTCTCTCTCTCTCTCTCTCTCTCTCCCTGAGTGCCACAATGCCAAAATGCTACTGCTGGAGCAACACTGACCAAAGTGTCCACTTGTATACATTTTTTTGGCACCCCTGGAATATATATCATCCCATTAACTTTTTACAACTATCCAGAGAAAGTTTTATTTTCCCCATTTTAAAGGTTAGAAGAGGGGAAGTTCTAAGGATATATAACTTGTCCACAGTCATACAGCTAATAATCAATAGTGCTGGGTTTTAAATGCAATGAATCACTTGTGCTCTTTTCACAACACTACACTAAAGTAAGTCCCCGATTTACGAACGAGTTCCATTCCGGGAGAACGTTCGTTAAGTTGGATTCGTTCGTAAGTCTGACAAAGTGAGTTTTATACACCTTTGACACAAATATACAATGTAAAGCCAATGTTGAATGATTCATGTTATAAGAACGAGCAATATGTACCATCTTTTCGCCTCGGTCCAATCTCTCAATTATTTTCACTTTTGTTTCCATGGTATTGCTTTGCGCTTCCTAGCAGTCCCCTCCACATCACCACTGCTTTTCCTCTTGCTTCCGGGCAGCCTGGGCTCTGATGGAGCACTGTACTACTGTATCTACTACTATCGCACTGTATAGTAAGCATACAGCAGCACAACTGTGACAACGTCCAGCAGACACATGAGCTACTTCTGTGATTTGTTCCCATCTAAAAATGTTTGTAATGCTCGGTCTGTTCATATCTGTGAAAGTTCGCAACTTGAATGTTCTTAAGTGGGGGGACTTACTGTACTACACTGTCTTTCAACCATGAGCAGGAATAAAATGGAGCTTAGTGGGCAAACAGTAGGTAAGTTTAGTCAGGATCAGTAAACTCAAGGCCACAAACAATTTAACACGTAAAACAACCACATTCCACAAAGCCTGAGTAAAGCCTTAGAACAGCAGTTCTCAACCTTTCACAGGGGTTGCCTAAGACCATCGGAAAACACATATTTTCGATGGTCTTAGGAACCGAGACACTGCTCCTCTATCTATCTTCAGGCCCACATGCAGATATGCCCACACGCAGATACGCCCACATACGAGTACCCAGCGACCCCTGTGAAAGGGTTGTTCAACCCCCAAAGGGGTCGCGACCCACAGGTTGCGAACTGCTGCCTTAGAGGATCTACACTTTACTGCTGAAGGTCATAAAAAGATCTCCACACACTCCGAAACAATATTAATTAAATCTCAAGCTTAGTTACTTATGTGGTTAAGAGAATACACTGAAACACCACAAGATGGTTTATCTCCACATTCAAACTAAATTTTTTATTAACACACCATACAAACGTATTAAGTACTACAGAAGCACTAGGGCCAAATTACATGGACTCTAATCCCTGCTCTATCACTTTCTTGAATAAGTTACCCTATATTTGCACAACAATTTCTTCCTCTATAAAAACAAAAATGATAGGGCCGGCCGAGTAACGCGATAGTTAAGAATTGGTTTGGGATGCCAGAGGGCCCCGGTTCGGATCCCACATATAAGGGCCAGTGACGCTGCTCTCCACAACTAAGATGCTGAACAACAGCTCAACCTGGAGCTGGGCAGCTGTGAGTCGCAGGTGACAGC